ACGTTCAATCGCTCTTTGGGCAGACCCAGTGATTCGATTACCTATACAGAGAAACAGCAGGAGAGGTGCAACTGACTGCATCGTGCAGAAGAGTCTCAGGAAACCCCTCCCCCTTCCATTTTTTAAAGACTGCCTCTTTGCAACCTAAGCGCAGTACTGAAAAGTATTTGCGGAGATCATAAAGGAATACAGAAGACTTGCTATCTCATTAAATTTTATACCAAAATTCGGAAACGTGTTTTTGATTAGAAAAACGCTCCTCAAGTTGGGTTTTAATATTTATTCCCATAGCATTGTCCCAGGATATTTCAGTCATTTCAGGATGTCGGCTCTTGAACGAGCTTCTTTCCGGTCGTCTGAGAAAGCCACGCTCTGTACAAAAACAATTACTTAAGCAGCATCCACTGATTTCAGATTTCGTCATAAATCTAAATATATATTTTATAGACAGTATGCATGAAATAGTCTTTTTTGCACTCATTTGGTAGAAAGGGTCTACCTTGTTTTCAAAAGCGAAGGTGGCAGTACAATGTGGAATGTGGCTGTACTCTGTTCAACAACACATCCGATATGTGAGGGTAACAAACACAGGACACTAAAAACCCTGTGGGCGACGAGTACTTTGAAGAAAAAAAAAGGGAACAGTAAATCAACTTACAGCCACCGACTGAGCAGCGAATGCTTCGTTGAGTTCGAAAAGATCCACGTCCTCAAGTGTCCAAGAGATCTTTTTGAGCAAGCCCTTGATGGCGCTGACGGGACCCATGCCCATGATCTCCGGCTCACAACCAGTCTGATGCCATCCGACTAGCCGCCCAAGAGGGCATTTGACGCCTGAGGTGGGGGAAAAAAGCGTTTGTGTCAGTGATGGGTGGGATTGACAGCAAACAAGGAGTGGTGGGCTTTCATGCAACTAAGAGAGGTACTGTTAAATTACACAACTTGCAACTAGGCTCTTCTCGTAGACGTGAAGTCTGAAGCTGGTAAAAAGCGCAAGGATATACTCATGCCCCCCCCACCCCCACAGTGAGGGTGGCCTACAGAAAAAAATATTTAGGATTATAGTAGCAAACTAGGGGCAGGTCTGCATAATTACTGTTGCACAACTGCAGACCTGACGTAGGATTGGCCTAGCGCGAGCCATGACACGGCCGCTAGACTGCGGGCAAAAGTATTTTACCAGGTTTAGTGAGACAAAGGCTAGCATTCACTGATTTTTCCCACAAGTCGAACCACCGAGAGCGGCTTTACGGAATCAGACAAGGAGAGTGCAAGGTGGGGGCAGCGCGCAGCATCCAGCAAGTACAACAAGGCAGTTCCGTTAGGCATTTTCTTACTCCCACACACGACAGTTGCTCCGTCGATTTCGACGATGGGCAGCCGTGTGCTCAAACAAGCCGCAGTGAACGCTGAAGCAAGCCGAAGCAGACACTGAGGCAAGCTGGGCAAGCTGCACGAAGGTTACAGCAAGCTGAAGCAACATTGAACTACCGCGACTGAAAACAAGAGTTAAAGCAGACTCGCGGGGAATCTACCCACTCGCTCGCCGCTCCCACCTCCGTTTCCGATGTAAAGACAAATTCAATAAGATCGGGGATGAGGGAGGTCTCTCTCTCACACACAAACACTTTCTTGAAAGTCAGTTTTTTAAAGATCCCAATTCACCACTGGTTAGAACTTTAGTTAGGAATGATCAGCTAAAGCTACGGGAG